TCTCAGAGATGGATTATAAATGATATTACCACGAGTGGTAAGGTTCTGCTTAAACATACCATTATCTAGTACTTTCCGTGTGGCAGGCATTGTTCTGCATGCTTTTTGGGTTATACCTCTATAAATACCCTACAGGTACAGGTACTGTTATAGTCCTCACCTTTCAGATGAGGAAGCTGAGGAGCAGAGAGGCCAAGTTCCTGCAGCTAATAGGTGGAAGAGGGGCCAGGGTTCAAACCCAGGCCACGCACCTCCAGAATCCTGTGTCGTCAGCATGGTTACCGTGCCGCGTGTCGCCGCCGTGTTTCACCGAGGGGATTCTAATGACGCAGGGGAGGGGGGCCGAGGCCTCCTTCCAGAGGAGCTTGGCCCTGTGTTCACCAAGTCACTCTGCTGTAACTTCTCTCTCACACACCCTAGCATTGGTTTTCCATAAAGTTTCTTCTGTTTTGAAAATATAAATATCATGGCTCTCTCTCTGTAAATAAGGAAGGTTCTATTTAGAGTGTTTTTTTTTTTTAAATCAATGTATGCATTAAGTGTGGATATCACCTACTCATTATTCCTCTCAGATGATAAGGACAAATATAATACATCTTAAAAACTTGGATTGGGGTTAAATATGGAGTAAAGTCTATTTAAAAACCAATATTCTCAGGGGAAGCTAAGTTAATCATTGTTTCAGCTTTATGATCAGTCAAAACAGTGAGGCCTCTTTCCACACTCGTGTGCAAGGATGCCTTTACCCGCTTCCTAGGGAGCGCTTACATTTTGAAGCCTGAGTTACAGCAAGTGTGAGTGGCCTTTGGTCATTTAAAAAGCGGTATTGCCTGTGTTTATTACTGAAGTGAGAATTTTAGTTTGCAGTATAACCATCGGTAGCCAGCATCTTTTATTTTCTTTATGAGTTATCCTAGGAAAGGAGTATATTTTTTAAGTGACTCTTGTGTTTCGTCCAGTCGAATTCTGAACAGTCATGGTTTTGTGAAAAGCGGTGCTACGTCGTACAGATGTCTTTTCGGTTGGAGCGGGTTGGTACCTACTTCAGCAGCTCAGTTCCTCCCCGTCGGCGTGTGTTGAGCAAAGCCCACGGCACCTGAGGCTGGGCCTCCAGACGCTGAAGGAGTAATTCTCTCTGTTCCCCACCTGTTCAGACTTCACACTTCACACTGCATCTAACCATCTGCCTCTCATGACGTCACAGTTAGGACCAGGTTCTAGAAACAGCCTGACCTGAGAGTGGAGTCAAATACCTGTCGACATAATTCTTGTGTGAGGACACAAGCTGCTGAGTTCATTCTAAGGATCTTTCCCCCACTTGTATGTCTAGACTTTTCCTCCTTGTTTTAGATGTAAGACCTTTTAAACTGGCCCATTTTCAGTTCTTGGACAGTGTTGCTGTAGCTCTTGCTTTGGCCCCTTCTGATGACTTCAGCATCTGAAAAGTCCAAGGGTGGTCACTCTGTTTTTACTGTTTTGCGGAGCCTCCATGCTGGTTCCCACGGTGGCCGCCCCCGTCTGCATCCCCACCAGCAGTGCGGGAGGGCTCCTTGTTCTCCACGACCCCCCCAGCACTCACTGCTTGCCTTCCCCATGAGAGGTACTCTCACAGGTGGGAGGCGGTGTCTCTTTGGAGTCTCCACTGCCTTTTCCTAAGAGCTGATATATCATAGAATTGCACGCTTGAAACCTGTATAATTTCATTAACCAATGTCAGGCCAGTAAATTTAATTTAAGAAGTACAAGTGTGACTCACAGTGATTCAAGTGGTATTGAAATAAGGTCTGTGGTACACGAGGGTTAATTTAGGTTGAGCATTATTAAGTAAAAATGTAACTTGAAATTAGGAAGTGAGCACTGGAGTTTTGTTGGACAACCCTCAGTTGAATGTATATCCTCCCTAATAAAAATTAGCTATTTGAATATTCCATTGAAATGTTAAGGTGGAAAATGAATATGAATTTAAACTCATGCCATCTTCCAACTCTGGTTGTTACTAAAGAATAAGCCTGAGAGCCAAAATACTTTTACTTCATTGAGGAAATCAAGAATGTCTTCAGTGGCCAACATATTTACTCAAAAACAAAACCACTGAGATTTTTATTGTCTTGGTATTTTGGGGGGGGGGTATGATATATTCCGGAGGTGCATAATGGATTTGTGTTCGAGAACATTTTGACAACCAGAAGTCCTACTACTACCACATAAAATATACCAAATTTCCAAAGATTTGTTTAATAAAAAAATAAAAGTTGTATGTGGTGATGTTTTGTGTCTTCATTTGAGCGTGTAACTATTCAGTGGCCGACAGGAAATTATTCTTAGAAATGAAAACTTCTGAACTCATTTTATAAATTTTACATTTTTTGAATAAGTATATTTTGTACTTTTATAAAATAAGATATTGCGTTATCCCATTTTTTTCTTCTTTTAATTTTTCAAAATGACTTGGTTTCAATTCTTACCTTTGGTATAATTATTAATTATTATTATTTAGCTCAATAGACTTATAGCATCTTCTACCAATATAAATTTGTTATTTTATAATAGCGTTTAAAACCTAAGTATTTTATCACTGATTAGAGAATTAATTTCTAAACTTTATGTAGGAAAATATAAAAACAGAAAAGTAATAGGTACATGAGAATTTATAAGTATATAAGAATTGCCAGTTTAACGTTCCAGTTTATGAACTCGACATGTGTTTCTTAATATGAGAGCCACATTTTTTGGTAAAACAAAGTGAGTCGGGACATCATGTTTTTCCTTGTTCTTCCCCGAAAGTTTCTTTCATGTGCTCGTACACTCGTGGGGATGATGTTTACGTACATAGCCTCCCTTTATTCGTTCATTTGGTAAATTATTGAGCATCTGTCAGGTGGGCAGCTCTAGGCTAGGCACTTAGAGCACATCACAGCAAGGAGAAGAACTGACAGTATCTACTGCCAATGGTGAAAGTCAAGTTTCCAAGAGAAAATGCGAACTTGGGAGAACATATCTGCCAACGTGAGCTTTACTGCTTCCAGGGTGTACTTTCCTGATGCAATGTGCTGTGATAATGAATGTGATTATACAGTGAAACATGTCAATAGTTAGAGGGTCATCGAACCAGTGTTTTCTGAGAGACCAGTGTGTCTCGTTACAAAGTCGTGCATAGTGTGAACGGTTCATTCGCTGTGACCCTAGACCAGCGGCACTTCACATTGGCAGTGGTCTGCAGTTGCACATGCTGCAGTTAATCTTCCTGAATACCACCACTTGTCGAGTGCTGGTGTAGTATCAAAGAGAGAGACACGTAGCTATCTGAATCCTCGCCCTTTTCCAGCTATGTATCTGTCGGAGCCAGACTTTCTCCCTCTAGTTGGGTGAAGATAGCATCCTGCAACAGATCGAATGTGGAAGCAGATACGGCAATCTGGCCATTTTCTTTTAAGAAAGAGATTTGCAGAAATGCAAAGCCGTTCTACTCTACTCACTAATTCTTCTGTTTTCAAAAAGATAATTTTCTTTATAAAATTATTTGTGATATGTAATGCATTTGTTATTTTTTAAAGAGGGAATAAAATAATTTTTTCAGTTTCTAACACAGTAAACATTATAGATGTCCTCTACATAACAAATATTGGGGGGGGTTCTCAGTAATATTTATGGGTGTAAGGAGACCTGAGATCACAAGTCGGAGAATTTCTGGTTCACAGGAAGGCTTCCACATTGAAATATATTGATATAGTTGAGGAAGACTACGGAGGAGCTTGCATTTTATGCTAAAAGACTTGTACTTTCCAGTAAAGAGTAAGGAGTCAGAATTTTTGAGCAGAAAAGTGACATGAGTAATCTGGAGGTGGCAGCTGCACTGAGACAGGAGCCAGGGGGTGAGTAAAGGGACAGGAGTCGCAGTTCATTAGCAGAAGGGCCAAAGGGGAAGGTGTTTGGTTTGGGTGAGGTTGGGCTCCATCAGAGAGACTTCTGGCCTAGCCACCGATAGGCTAGGTTAGGGGAGCCGTCAGGTGGTACGTCTGAGTTTAGCTAACTGGCGTTGACAGAAGCCGATTCGCAGGGAACGTGGAACTGCTTCCAAATATTTGTATACTGGGATCAAGGCTTTGAGGTTGCACAGCCAGGTAGAACTATCCGGCAAAGAACTGAGAATTGAGACCAGGTAGCCTTCCAGCTTTTGTGGCATTGAGCACCTCTGTTGCTTAAAATTAGGAAGAGTTCTTTTTGACACCATACAATGGGGATCCAGATGCTAAAATTGTGTGTTTCAGTGGCTAGATGGTAGCTTGTATCGAAATCTGCTGAATTCGTTGGCTGTTGTGTGCTTGGCACTGTACTGTGTGCTCTGGTAGTTGTTACCGTGTGTGTGTGTGGGGGAGGGGGTGCATGTGGTTTTTAAGCTCTGCTAACCCCTGTTCTGTCATTTCCTTGACTTACAGTCAGCATTGCATGGTGAGTTATTTTCCTATGTAAGACAATAAAATGTTTAAAAAAGTTATGATCAAGATTGAACAATGAAAATAGACTATTTTCCCTTTCTTTTCAAAAAAGTGGCACAATCACTCTGTGGTACACGGGAGAGAAACATCTATCTCATATCGCCTCTTATGATAAGCGTTTTTCTGTAGAAATTCCTCAATACTGCGTGGGTGATTTACCAAGGCCTTTTTAAAACGGCTGAAAACATGCTCGGAACAGCCATCTGATAAAACGGAAAACTGAACAAAATGTGTACTCAGACGAGTGGTTCTCTGAAGAAATAATGGTGCAAATGAATTATCAAAGTGTAAAATCATTAAAAACAAAATGTGTTTGGGTTTTTATTGAATCTTAATTGCAGGCCTATGTATTTTCTTTTATAAGCTAAGTTAAAAGAAAATGGCCTAACTTGATTTTGGGCGGCCAGTGTTGTGGGAATACATTGTGCCGTACTTTATGTTTCTCATAAAAGTTGCCGTTCACTTTTTCCCTCTAGCATTAACATGCATGCTTTCCTCGTGTAGGAGAATACATAAAAAACTGGAGGCCGAGATACTTCCTCCTGAAGACGGACGGCTCGTTCATAGGATATAAAGAGAAACCTCAGGACGTGGACTTACCTTATCCCCTCAACAACTTTTCAGTGGCAAGTAAGTTCACTGTGAACATTGGTTCACCTTGTGTTTGTTTATTCACATGACCGTATGTGGCGGGTACCTTAGTCTGTATGAGAAGGTTTTTAAAAGTTTAGGTTTGTATTTAATAGCACAGAAATGTTCAGCCGTGGTAGACTTTCAATTCCGTAGCATAAGGACGATCGGTAATATGTGGTCTTATAGAATGAATTATTTCATATTTTTTATAGTTAGCACTTGAATGTGATCATTGTAGTCCCCCAGATATATACTTCAGGTGCTCCTGTACAAAATCTAAACAAAGCCCTTTGAACTTGGTCGCTGCGGTCAGCCTGGTTTGGAGATGGCCAGTACTTCGTGCATCGCTACTCATAACCTTGGGTATGACTCGTGGCATAACCTTGGGTAGCTCCTCTGATTGAGTGTGTGATGAGAAATAAGTGATTTTCGTTGGAAATCACTTTCAGGGGAGATTTTATGTTTGTAGTTTCATCTTTCTTCCTTACAAATAACTAACAAAAATCTTCGTAATTTAAACTTACTGAGATATTATGTATATGCTTGAACTTAGCACAGAGTAAACGGCAAGACGATGATGGTGATAATGACAGTGGTCATTATTGTTTTCCAGTGACCAGGCACTTGGGACTGTGCACTATCGGTCACCAGTGGAAGGGTTTTCTATGTTCACTTCAAAGTGAAGCATTTTAAAGTTGTGTTAAGTTAAAATAAACCTGCCTAACAGCCAAAGTCCATCCCGTTGAGACAAAAATCTTTAACTGGACACAGTTCTTAATTTTGGTTTTGATTGTAGGTTGTCATCTATTAGCTGCATTTGGAAAAGATATGAGGGAAGATTAAAGCAGGAAAAATAATAAAAAATACAGTAAAATAGTAACAACAAAAAATCCAAAATTGCGGAAGTCCTCGCATGTTATCAGGGTCATTTTACCATTATGTAGAGTCCCAGGCTTTTTTATGGATATTCTCTGTTAATTTTATTTGAAGAATATGATAAAATATAAACCAAAGGGTTTGTTAAATCATTTGAATGATAAAGATACAACTTCAAAAACAAAAAAAGTGAGAACACTTACATGTATAGATCAGTTAAGGAAATTATTTCCCCACCAAAGGCTCATTAGGTTGTTACAGCTTTCCTTCAGTAGAAAATTACTTTTTAAATCTCACTGTCAATTGAAGAGACCTTGTATTTTGGTCTAACACGTTGTCATTTTAAAGATCCTCTCCGTGAGCCTTTGCTGTAGAGGGGATAGGAGTTGGCATAGATCATCAGGTACTTCCCGATGCCGCCATGGTTTCTTGGCTTCTTTATTTTACTCGCGATTGCTATTGGTTTGTCTGACATCATTTATAAAAAGTATAGAACTCCTGTATCTGCTGATCAAAATGCAACATTTTTTGACCTTATGAAATTTCACACCCTAGCAAATTTTAAAGACATGCTGTATGCCACAGTCTGCCAACATCTGCTCCCACACTTGCACTGGCAGAGGCTGGAGTAAATGCTGCACTTTCGGGGAGAGGGCCCGCTCAGTGACTGGCAGGCGGCTCCTCCTGGAAGTGAGGGCGCACCGACATCTGCACCCTCCCCTCCTGTCGTGGTGGAGTTGTGGGCAGTGGCCTCGAACCCACGAGTGACGCTGCAGGCCAGCCGCTCGGTCTTCAGAAGTGTGTTCGCGTGGCTCTTGTTGCACTAGCTACACTATTTTAAACGAACTGTTCTTAAAGCTGGATCTATTGTGATCTTTAATTTTTTAAATGATAATTAACCGGGAAATACTGTGGTGAGATGGGCCCTGGTTGTAGGTCAGATGCCAGCCTGGCCAGAAGCTTGAGCATGGCCTTGGGCACGTCGTTCTCTGAAACTCTGATCTTTAATCGCTTCATCAGAACAATGAAGGCGCTTGGGTTTGATGAGTTCGTAAGGCCCTGTAGGTCTGGGATTCTGGGAGCGGGAAGTTGAGCAGGTCCTTGAAGAGTGGATAGGAGTTAAACAAACTAAAATGGACGAGAAGGATATTCTGGGTGGGGAGGTTGACAGAAATGTTTTTGTGAGACATTATAAGAAAGAACAGTTGGAACAGGAGAGGGTGACTTCACCAGTGGTGTCCCTACTTCTCAGTCCCTGTTAGTGTATGAAGAAAGGGGTCAGTTTACGAAGTATTTCTAAGGTATATGGGAAAATTATATATGTGTGTGTATTCCGTATATTCCATTGATAGCTGATATCTTGTTTTTCCAGATAATCGAAAGTGTTACTTAAATTTAATCTATGTGGGTTTTAATGGAATGTTATGAAAATAGGCTTTTTAGCCATATGAAAAAAATAAAGTCAGAACTGGAAGGGACTTAGAATCGATCTTTTCAGTCTTCATTCACTTTCAGATTCCTTTCTTTTGAAACCACTTTTATTTAATAAATTCTTCAGTGGCCACTTAATTTCTAAGACTAGTGGATGTTGTTCAGTTCTCTCCACTGAGTTACATCAGGACTGCACTTAATGCTGGTGGCCACCAGGTCCTTCCTGGGATGACCTCCCCCATCCCTGTCTCGTCCTTCTGAAATGCCCCTTCTCCTGGTTTTCTGCCTTTGCCTGTTGCATGCAGTTTGGCTGTTCTGCGTTCTGGCCGAGGATTCTTCTCCCGTGGCACCCTGGCCCTGGGTGGGAGCATTCACTTTAAAGGTTTTAGTTGCTTCCTGTTTGCAGCTTGCTCCGTCACTCCCATGTCTTCAGGGTGACCCTTTGTCCTGAGCAGCGGGTTACTCTCTTCACCTGATTTCTGGGACTCAACATGTACCAAGCTGAACTCAAGATAATTTTATCAATTTCCCCCCTATGTTTTCAGCATCTCTTTTCTGTCTTGAGCAGAAACCTGAATCCATTTCATGCCTGCCCCCCTCACATCTTTACCCCACTTCCAATTTATTTCTAGCCCTGATTTTGCTTCTTTCTCAAACTTAATGTCCTTGCCTGTGATTACCCAAAAACAAGGCTTCGTCGTCTCTGCTATGCCTCTAGTTCCCACCACTTGTAATAATTCCTTCACACGGCCATCAAAGTGACCTTTCTAAAATCAAATCCTAAGGGTGCCAGTCCCCTGGGCATGCCCTGCCCCAGGTCCTCATTGTTTGGTGCATAAAATCCAGCTCCTTAATCCATCACACAGGGCCTGCTCAGACTGGCCTCTGCTTTCAGCTCCTGCTTTGCCTCCCTTCTGTGCAGTTGTGCTTGGGCTGCACCCGACCGACCGCTTGCTGCTGCAAACTCTGCTGCTTTTCTGCCCCGAGCCTGTGTTCATGCTGTTCTCTCTGATTGCAGTGTCCTCTTCTCTGTTTTTGTTCCTTAGGATTTCATTCATATTTAAATTCCCAGCCTACTTCGTTGCTAAAGGTCTTCTCCCTGCCTTTCCCAAAGCTTGTTACCTTTTGTTGTTATCACAGCTTTTCTTGGTTATCTGTTCAAGTGCAAGTCTCACCTGCTCCCTGGGGAGTTACTTGAAGGGAAGAGCCTGCTGTGACTTATCTCTGTCTCCTAGTGCCCACGTGCTAGGGCTTTACAGCGATTTTCAGATGAATATCTGAAAACATCTGGTCTATATTTTCCACTTTTTAGATAAGAAAAATGAAGCCCTTAGAAAGTCAATGATCTTTTTTAAGGTTATTTTACTAGATAGTAGCAGTAAAGTATCAAATCTGTTTACTGTTACTTAAAAATGGGATTCCTTTCCCCACCCACGTTCTGTGACATCTTACCTAGATGAAGAGCCTGGAGATTTGGTTTTGGGTGGGAATTCCAGCACTTAAATGGTGATATTCTCTGTCATACAGAATTTCCCAAGCCCTATAAAATGTGGATCATAACATTTGACCTTCATCCTTTGGGTAGATCAGATGTGAACTATATGGGAAGGTGCCCTCTAAACATAGTGCTGTAGAAATGTAAATACAAATATTTTTTAATGCAAGGTACATTTTAAATCAGAATTGTAGTTTGATAAGTTGCTAATTATAGAGATTATCTTTACACAGGAAATAGTGCATTTTGACTGAAAAATAATGTAAGACTCACTCCAGCATTGTCGCAAAGCTGTGTTCAAAGTTACTTTGAGCGCAGTAGTCTGTCTACCCAGTAGTCATGGTTTTTAACATTTTGACAGATATCAGTCCAACTCAGAAGCAGAAACAGTTCCTTCGTGGAGAACTGGAACATTTGTCCATATGTCTCGGGGCTCAGTCTTGCTGGCAGCGGGGACCAGGGAGAAGTGCCTGGCTGTGTCCACAGAAGGGCGGCCTAGAATCCGGCTTCACTCTGGGTTGCAAATACTGGCTTGTCACAAAAAAGTGACGGTGTCACTTTCCTCCCCGGCACCGCTCCACAATTCCTTTTTTAAGAAGTAGGTCGGTCTGCATTTCTTAGGCCAGTTTTAAAAGTTAAATGGAATGTTTACTCATTAACCTGTTTTTCTTCTTCTGTTTGAAAGAAAGAAGGAAGGAAATTATGGGCCTTAAACCTACCAAAAAAATCCTTCCCTCTGAATAAACATTAGACTCGGAGATTATAAACATGAAGACAAATTCGCTGGTTCCCACTAGTGCATCCACTGCGGCTGTTCATGGGGAGAGAAGAACGGCCTAACGCCGGGCGATCTGGAGTGGCGGCCCCGCATCCAGAACAACCCGATGCTGTGTAAATATACAAGGATTACGAGAGAATAGAGTAACTCAGTTTCAAGGGTTTACTGCTCATTAGAATCATACTAGATACTAACAGGAGTATGAAATACAATTTTTTATGGAGGAATTTGTCATTGAATTGGATGTCTGGAAGACATGCACGGAGAACCTGGAGCAGTGGGAGGGAAAATCAGAGTAATTGCCAAAATGAACTTTATAGAGAGCAAAGGCCGCAGAAGTTGAGAGAATAGGTAAAGATAAGCTGGGGTGCTTAGCTAAGAACGTGTTCATGAGCTGAGGTTAGCGCAGGCCTGGAA